CGCCTGATTCCCTGCTACCTTTCGTTCACCCCCCTCCTCTCTCAAGTATAATATAATTATCCTATTATCAATTTCAAATAAAAGTAAATTAATTCTTTTGCACTAATATTAGTTAAATATAGGTTGTTTTTTGTTTTTCAAATTATTATCCTATTTTTCCCGAATGCATAGCGAAGGGTTTTCATTTAAATCTGGGAATCTGGGGATAGAGCCTTATTCGCGACCCGTTATTTCAAAGTTCGCAATCGTCCGCAGCCGTTCGCAATAAAACGCTAAAGCGTTGCCATTGGGGGAAGCTTTTGGAGAGGGTTTCGGATGAAAACGTGACGCGTCAGATTCGCATGAAATAGCGAGGAATCATGTGGAAATGTCAAATTTGAAGTGTGAAGAGGTTGATTTCATTGCGTAGACGCAACGTTTTGTGAGATCCGCAGTTTGTTGCGCAATTCCATTGGGATTAGCGTTCGGAGAGTCGTGTTTTCTGGGGTGCTGGATGTGGCCGTACCATTGGGATTTGCGTTTCAGGGTGTGGCATGGAAGCTCTGTTTTCGTGACAAATCTCAGCTGAAATGGCGATTTTGGTGGATAGGAGTGTGTTCACACCGGATCGAAATCATTCCAAACGTGTGGTGCGGTGCACATTTTATTGAAATTCACATGAAATGCCATTATCATTTTTCGTGGCGGGCGCAGTGTTTTGTGCGGGGTTTGAAGTGTGGAAGTGCGATTTTCGTGGCAAGTGCAGGGAATCGGGAGGTTGCGAAGTGCGACGGAAGTGACATTTCGCGGCAGGCGCCTACTTTGTGCGCGTTAGACGTGTGGACGCGGAAAGATTCGTGGCAGGCGCAAGGAATCGTGAGGTTGTGAGTTGTGATGGAGGTGAATGTCGCTGTGACATTGGGATTGGCGCGTAAGCGGGAGGTATTTGGAGGGGTTGCAATCGCGAAATTGCTTGGCAGGGCTGTGTGAGGTGTGTGCTCCGATGGGTGCTTCCAATTGATTTTTGGAGGAAATCTCGCACGAAATGCTCGTTTTGGAGACTTTGATAGTTTTTGAAAAAAAAAAAAAGGAATCTCGTACGAAACGCTCGTTTTGGAGACCTAACGTGTGACTTTTGGAGGAAATTTCGTACGAAACACTCGTTTTGGAGACTTTGGAGGAAATTTCGTTGGAAGCGCTCGTCTTGCAGCCTCGAAGCGTGACTTTTGGACGAAATTTCGTGCGAAACACTCGCGTAATTGCTTCTAGTGCGAAGACAGACCGTATGACGACACGACGTTCGCGATGTCGCAATTCCATTGGGCTTTACGCAACCTTGGTGGAAAGTGCGTTTGCGTAGCGCCGTACCATTGGGAAGCTCGAAACAGGTTGGCGTAAACGCGGCGTATCGTTGGTGAGCGGGAGAATTTTGTGGTATCATGTGACGTTTTTTCTGTTGAGGCAGACCGTATAACGACGCGACGTTCGTGATATTGCAGTGCCATTGGGATTTCCATTTCCTATATCGGAAATGTGTGCCGTGCCCCTATAGGGAGCGCGAAATACGCTGGCGTAAACGTGGCGTATCGCTGGTAATCGGAATAATTTGTGGAATCATATGATATATTTGCTTCAAGTGTGTGGGCAGACCGTGTGGCGACACGACGTGCGTAATGTTGCAATGCCATTGGGGATTTGCGCGGCCTATATGGGAAGTGTGTTTGCGCGGCGCCGTGCCATTGGAGAATGCGAAATAAATTGGCATAAGCGCGGCGTATCGCTAGTATGCGACATAATTTGTGGCCTCATGTAACATGTTTGCTTCTAATATCTGGGCAGGCCGTGTGGCGATGCGATATTCGTAATATCGCGGCGCCATTGGGATTTGCGCAACCTTGGTGGAAAATGCATCTGCATAGCAGTAGGTACTAAATGGTCTGGTCGAGTTCCCGGCCGGTTTGTTTCCCATTTCCTTTCATTTGTCTCAATTCCTTTCATTTATCTCCCAATTTGTTTCATTTGTCTGTCAAATTAGATGCTTATGGTCGGGTTCCCGGCTGGTTTATCTCCCATTTCCTTTCATTTGCCTCCCAATTCTTTTCATTTGTCTCCTAGGCTGGGTACTTCTGGTCAGATTCCCATTTCTTTTCATTTGTTCGCCCTTTTCAGGGAGCGCGAAACAAGCTCGTATAAATGCGTGTCGCTAGTGAGCGCGATAATTTGCGGTAACAAAAATGTCCCCAAAAAAATGTCCCGCAAAATTTTCCTACAAGAATATCCCGTATAAATGTCCGACAAAAACGTCCCCATAAAAGTGCTTTACAAAAGTGTACCTTAAAAGTGTCCTATAAAAGTATTCCATAAAAATGATCTATAAAAATATTCCACAAGAATTTCCTACAAAAATATCCTATAAAAGTGTCCCACAAAAATGTCCTAAAGTGTCCTTCAAAAAAAAAATCCATAAATATATCCCATAAAAGTGTCCCATAAAAATATCCTACAAAAAATTATTATTTAAATATATTAATGTATACGAATGGTTTTTATATTCGGATTCGTCGGATCCATTTGATTTTGTCAAGAATTTATTCGTCCACATTCCTTTCTATTCATTAAATATATTCAATTAAATATATTAATATATTTCATAAGCACATTATCGGGCGTCCCATTCAATATACATTAACGGGCCCCTACGCGAATTCATTTCTTTCGCCAATGTCCAATCAATGCCAAAGGACAAAAAGAAAACAAGATCCGGCCGCAAACAGGAGGCGCGGCCAAGACAAAAATAAGAGGAAAACAAGGCCCGGACACAAAGCCGAATCACAGACCAGCCACAGAGTTCAGGGGCATGGCCAGTAAGTGTGGCCAACTCTATTTTCTTCTAAGATAGAACCCTTCGAATCTTCTTGCGCCGAATAAAAAAGGCCTGATTCGGTCAACTCTTTCATCCAATCTTTTGCAACATTGAGAGCCTGGTTTGGCTCTAAAATCCACCAATCATAATCTCTTCCAAAGAAATCGGTGATTGGATTGTATTCGGAAGCACATTGTCTCCCATATCCAAACGGGGGCGAAAGCATTCATCCCAAGAGAAACAAAGCCCTCCTCAGTGTCTTTACTCAAGGCAACCTCAAATTATCTTGTCGGTAAGATCACTCTCCGTATCTGCAACATACAAAAAGGGCTGGAAAATAATTCTGAAGAACATATGGTAGCATACTATGTGTTCTAGCCATCAAGCGTAAAGCCAAAATCTGCACTCTGGCTCAGCAAGCGCTGGCACTATTACTTCAGAAGGGGCGCGAAGGCCAACAAAGATTTTTCTTCTAAGGTCGCAGATCTCACTACCTACTTCTGCATCGGAACAATAAACAATGGCCCCTGCGCAAAAGGGCTGCCCCTCCGTCAAGGATGGAAAGCCCTGCGCGAAGTTGTTCTGGCCTGTCTGAGCAAGCTTCTGGAGATCAATCACCCAAAACACGGATGTGGAAGGCCTGAAGACGCTCCCGAGATGAGAGCCACTCTAGCCCTACTAGTAGCCGGCTTTCAACGCCCTCTCAATGCGAAAGGCTGCAGGAATCTTGCAAGGGGCCAACTTTCGTGTCAGATCCAAAATTTGTACCGGTGCCTAAGGAGGCTCTTGGCGGGCAACAAAAGAGGTAGTAGGCACGGTTCCTAACACAGGGTGTGGATGAGAGTCCTCAACTGGCTCCCAATCGTCCAAGAAAGCCGCGTCAGTAGCCTGCCCTTAAGAAGTAAAAAAGAGCAGAAGCTAAAGCGGCTCGAAGAGCAGGGATAACCAACCTAAGCTATCCACCAGATGATCAATGTCCTTGTTGGCAATCGGCAAACTCATTCAAGTAGGCCCGGAGACGTCTTCGAGCAGAAGTGGCGACCAATTCGTCGGGAGCCGAGTGCCAGGATAGGGAAGGAGCTTAATGAGAGGTAGGAGGGTGGTGAAAGCCAAATCCAAGTCAGGCAGAATGCACGGCCCAAAAGCACGGCCTGAAATGCCCAAGAGGCGCTGCACGGCCAAGAAAACCACCAACTCACCTCACAAAGCAAGCTCAGCCCCTCAATCACCTTACCAATCATTCGCTTGAGAACAAAAGTCGGCCGCATCGAACTTAATGAGCAATAAAGTACAAGTAGCATTATTATTGAATATATATTAAAATATGTTTTGCAATATCTGCAAGAATCCGAATGCATATTGTTTTGCTGGAGTTACCGTCCATTGAACTAAAAGAAGCGTAGAAGCTTCAATGTGTTGCCGCCGTGTCACAATTTCATGCTATTCGTTCCTAGAGTCCTAAAGCCTGCAGTGAAGACTTTGCCTCTGCAGCCTGTCCGCACAAATTTGCGAGGATTTGTTCTTCTCTGATCGTTTTCTCAACGGTTTGAGCTGCACAAGTTCTCTTCTGCAGCATACGCCATCAGCGCGGAGCAAGTTGGATCCGAGCTAGTCACGGACCCAGTGCCGGTTTCACAAGTGCTTCCTGAGCATGGATATCTGTACCAGCTTGATGATATTCCCTGCGCAATCCCGTGAACTTCAGTTGACGTGCCAGCATGCGCGCGGATCTGTAGTGGCACACATCCAGGTGACTGCCAATAGGGTGCACGCGTAGTAGGTACAACACTCCCAGCCCATCCTTCTCTGTTATTACACGTGCACCCAGCCGGCACATTGGAACCAGAGCTCCCAGTCGGACATGGTTCCGGAGTGCAAACCCCGCCTTCTGGTCGGTGTCCAGCTTGGCACCCAAAGCAGGAAGTGCTACTAGCATAGGATGTTGTATCTGATGGGCACAGGGTGCATTGGTTGGATGCAGCATAGTAGCCAGCGGGGCAACCGATGCAAGTCATTGCCCCGGTCTCGGGGTTGACAGCCACATAGCCTCCGGAACAAGTTTGACATGCGTCCGAACTTCCATCGTTGAAACTGTCTGAAGGACACGGTGTGCATCCAGCTCGAAGCGAGCCATATTTGATGACATTACCCACACACTGCTGGCATGAGTCCTGTGATCCATCATTATATTGGCCCACTGGGCAAGAGGTGCAGGCCACTGCACGCCCGCCCGTCCGTTGTATTTCACCGCCAAGACAAGAATCACAACTCGACATGCCGGCGCTACCTTGATAGTGCCCCTCGGGGCATTCACTAGGTACTCGAGCACCTTGGGTGGCAAAGGTGCCAGCTGGAGCTTCGAGGCAACTCTCTTGGTATGCTTGGCTTTGATACTTTCCAGCCGGGCATTCCAGGCAAACACCTGGGTTGGTGTGGTCGACATCCGCACCGCAAGCATGCTTGTAGTAGCCAGCAGGGCACTCTGCGCACGGGCTCCTGGGACAAGTCAAGTTTCGCTCGCCGAAACCACCATCCGCTAGAAAATAGTAGCCAGACTCATACTCACAGGCTGCACAAACGCCTTGCGACGTTCCTGCGCAACCCAACCTCACATATCCAGCATCACACCGCTGGCAAAAGGACTCTTTGCAACCCCTGCTGCTGACACCTCCATTGCTGACCCAGAAGTAGTTGATCTTGTGGTCATCACACTTAGCACAGATTCCAGGGCTAGATGGATTATCCACAGAACCGCAACCTTGTCTGTATTGCCCAATCTCACATTCTTCCTCATCTGCGGCACATAGCCTTGTAGGGCACGCGTCTGTGAGACCCCCGTTGCCGATGAAGTAGGTATTTGTTTGCTTGGTGCAATGCACACAAGCTCCTTCACTGGCCCCTCCACAATTGGCCCGGTAAATCCCCATCGGACAATCGCCGCATGGAACGAAGTCACATTGATTGGGCAATCGGCTGGATGACTTGTAGTAATATCCATGCCCTGGTCCGTTGGTACAAGGAACACACGCGCCGCTGTTGGCCATGTCACAGCCAGACCGGAAAAAACCCACCTCACATGGTTCACAAGCCTTTCGTGGGCATGCATCTTCCAAACCACCAGAACCATCATGGAAAAATCCAGGGTCAGGCGTGGTGCAGGCATGACAAAAACCAGCATTTGTGCCACCACAAAGTGCTTTGTATTGGCCAACTCCGCAATCTGGCACACATGGAGCAAGGTCACAAAGACCATCAGGACCACCGCGAGATGAAAAGTAGTGAGATGGAGGTGTGACATTGGGCATGTTCAGGCAATCTTCACACTTACCTGGCGAACTTCCACCACATCCGTCTGGAAACATGCCAGTGGGACACTTGATGCATCCGCTGGTTTGGCAACCATGCGGGTGCACACCGCCATGTGATACGTAGAACTCCTCTGCTCCAGCATTTGTGCAGTTGCGACACTCACCCGCATGGATGCCGCCACAACTTTCTCTGTACCTGTCAATCCGCCAAAAGAAGAACCAAACCAAGGACGCCTTTTTTTGACAAATGTGAAAGAGTAATAGACAAATGTTTTGAGAATAATAAACGTGCTCTTGGACAACACCGGAAAGAAACGCTAAACGATAAAATGGCTGGCGCAGCTGCCAAGGCACTGGCCAATACCACAGGATAGACTGCTCACAGCTCCGCATTCTTCACAACTGCCTACATATGTTTGCAAGCTCTCATCCCACCTGATGTCTCCATGAAAACCTGCACGGCAGGCACAACTTGAGAGAGGAGGGGGGTGAACGAAAGGTAGCAGGGAATCAGGCG